CCGCTTATTAAGCCCAATTTGGTCTGGGCCCGAGGTGGGCTTGTAGCGGTCTAGTATGAGAGATCTACTACAACCACTACACTAATAGCCGGCGACTACTGTAGTACCGTAATTCTTGTTAGCATTGGGAATTTAGGTACACGTTGAGACGAGTCAAAGGATGCTCGTTAACCACGGAGAACGAGGAGATCACAGGCGTGATATGACGAGTGCCAAACCCTGTCGTCGGAGCAACCATGAAAGCTTAAACTGGTGTATACGCTAGAGGGGTGGGTGGAAACGTAGCCTTTTTCCATGCTAGTAGGGACTGTCATTCGGGGCGGCCTGGTCACATTGCCCAACGGTAGCAGACAACATTTGTACTTTTCACATGCATGACAGTACCCACTCTCTATAATAAAGGCATAAAACCGAGGAGAAGACGCTTGGATGTCTTGGCTCAGTTGTAGGCGTGCTGCAGACGACACAGTCGTTGAGGATGAACGCTCACCGATCGCTAACGGAACTCACTCCTCTCGCGCTCTGTCTTGGGTCTCACATTTCTCGGGCCCTGACAACCCAGGCAGATAGCATGGCCGCTAAAGAAAAGGGAGATGGCCGTTTCTGGCTCATCAGCTGTCATACACAACCCGAGGCTCGAACCCGCAACTCTCTATGCCGCATCGTGTATCGTCTGCTGCCAGGAAGATGCCCACGCCTAGCATTATCTTCCTGCTGCTGCTGTTAATAGCGCGCTGCTGGCCACAGTTTCGCCAGCTCTGACACGCGCAGGGGCAACAGGGGGAGGGCTTAAATGGGGGAGCATGGCGTAGTATCTGAGCGCTGTAATGAGTGCCACTAGCAGACGCAGTCTTAAACTGGAAAACAAAGGGAGAACATTCAACAAAAGGAGGTCTGGAGGCGGAAAAAGACGGCTTACCAAGAGGAGGTGGTCGATCAAACATAACAGAGAGAGAGCGGCTTGTATCTCTCACACACAAAATAAAAGGTGCGGCTGCCGCTCACTTTTTCTCTAACCTCTTCCTTCTTCTTCTGCTTCCTCTTGTGCTTTCATTCTTTCTCCCTCCCCGTAAGCATCCTCCAAACAGCAGCTACTCTCCTCTAACCTGAAAAGCTTAGGTAGAAATATGTATATATAGGCAGGTAAGAAGGTAAATCAACGCGGCCACAAGTGCGTGCGTGTGTGCGTGAGTTTGTCTGTACAGAGTTCACGGCAGGCACTTGCATGACAGCCCTATCTGCGTGAGGATCGGCGACGGGAGCGAGACGTTGAAGATGAAGACGAAGAAGATGTGGAGTGTCGTCGTGATCGGCGGTGATCTCGACGATGGTGGTCACGAGACCGATGATCGTGATTATGGTGACGGCCACCAGCACTCCTCGATCGCGACCGCCGTCGAGAACTACGTCCGGGTGACCGATGGTGACGCGACCGGGTACGTTTGTGGTGAGAGGAGACTGAAGAAGAGGAAGTCGACGAGGCGGATGAGGAGGCGGACCTCCGGCGCTTTTTGTGTCGCTCTTTTTTCGCCTCCTTCTCACCGCCACGGTGGTGGCGACGGCTGCGGTCTCGTTGTGGGGAAACGTCTTCTTTCCGGGAAACGGAGTGAGTCTTTTTCTTTTTCTTCTTTTCCTCCTCCTCTTCCTCCTGCTTAGTTTTCGACTTCTTGTCCGCCCTCTCATCATCTCGATGCGAGCGCGAGTGCGGTATGGACGTCTTTTCCTTCGCAGGTGTTTGTTTCGACGAGGACTTTTTGGGAGTTTGGACGCTCGCAGACTTTTCCACAGGCTCTGCAAAACGAAAGGGAAGGCAGATTGCGGAGAGGCAGATGTAACGAAAGTCGAAAAGAAACATTAACAGACACAGGGGGTGGGGTGGAGTGGGGATAGGAAAGGATGTTTCATGGAAAACGCCTAATAAACAGCAACGACCGGTACAAGACTTATGCTCCAAGGAAGTCTGGTGGCGGAGGGTATGAGAGAGTGAGGTCAAGTCACGGGTTTCTGTTGTATTCTAGAAGTAATAAAGGTTCTTCCGCGGCAACTAATTCCGATCCAGGTTCGACTGGATCAGGGATACGCAGTTCACTGCGGGCGCGCGCACATGCAATAGACGGCAAGAATGAATTCTGGTGGAACAGATAAATGTGGAGGCACTCTTTGTAAGAGCGAGAGTGTAGAACTTACCGTGTGACGGAGTCTTCACGTTCGGGGCTTTTTCACTCACTTTCGCGGATTTCTTCTCGGACTTCGAAGCGGCACTCGAAGATTGGGTCGCTGTGGCAACTGGCGCGGACTCCGACGATTTGCCCCTCTCGGAGGCCTCCACTGTTTTCGCGGTTGCTTCCTCGGCTGCGCTAACTTCGGGCGGCGGTGTTTGTTCACCCTGTGGAGAGGTGGCGGTGGGGGCCACTTTTCCTTCAGATGGCGCTGTCACCTCGTCGGCAGTGTCGCTCTCTGCTTCGCTTTCGCTGCCGTAGGCAACCAGACCTATTAAGGTTGCAAACCGGTCAATCAGAACACCACAGAATATGAACACCCGATGACAATTTGATATTTCAGAGGCCGATCGGGGCTGAGCATGCAGGTGACCTAACTCATGCAAAGTCATCATGAAAACTGGAGTTGGTAGCTTAGCATACATTTGGTCTCGTGCATTGGATCTAGTAATGGGTGGAGTTGATCCAGGGAAAGCCTTTTACAGTAGTCGCCGGCTATTAAGCCCACCCCGGGCCCAGACCAAATTGGGCTTAGAGCGGCGGGCTTATTAACCGTGGGCTTAATAGCCGGCGACTACTGTAGTAGGTAAAACAGTCTGTTTAATGCAGTTTATTTAAGGAAAGCAAGCACAATTCTAGTGAAATCGAAGGTGGCGTGATATCGAAAAAAAAATGTCTACTTTGACAGAACCAGACCTTATTTTTGCGCGCTGTATTATAGGGGCACACTAAAAAGGCAAGAAAAATTTAAAATTTGTCCCTTCCAGAACCGTGAAATTTAGTCTTGTTGATGAAAATCAAGTGAAGACATGATAAAGGAATCGCGCTGTGTTTGCTCACGTCAGCTGAGAGATACCTACAGACTCCGAGGACTGCACCATGTCTCAGGAATGGCTTAAGATAGGTTCGCGGTGTCGAAGAATTGTAAAAAGGCGCGCGCATTTTAAACGTCCCTGATTTTCCCGAAGCGAGGCAGCAAGCAAGCAAGCAGCCTCTGTAGATTAATGTAGGTACCGGGGTAAACTAGCTAGGTGTTGCTCCACCCAACTGATTCCATCCAATTCAAAAGGGTTAAAAGCCAAACAACAGGCGTCATCACAGAGATCACATTTCTCGTCATTTTGAATAAGCTAAAGGAGGGACGTCTGAAGGTCGCCAAGGTGGCGAAGCAACGCACACAGAAAGCCTTACCGGTGAGGCCAACACTAGAGCTGGTGTCATTGGACTTGAGGGAGCCGCCACTGCGCTGCGCCGACTTCCTCAAGAGGGCGGCCCGGTGTTCTTCCGCCGCCCGTCGAGCCACCTCTTCGGCCTCCCT